TTGTATTTTGCCCTGCCGAATGAATCTACATATCAACATTAGATGAAACTAGTTCGCGTAACTGCAATGACCTATGAAAAGCCCATAAACACAATGTGTACAAAATGCCTCAAACCCGGAGATCCCGCCGGGGGCTGCTGATGCTTCGGAGGCGGTCAGGAGCGTTGGACGTTCATGTCGCGATAATAATGTGTTATGGACAGCTACACAGGACACGGTGGGTTCTTCCCGTGCGGCTCTTACGGAAAAACTCTGGCATGGTGTTGCGATCAAGAACGGCTAAAAGTAGTACAAAAGAACTTTGCCTTTTGTCAACGCATAAGATCAAGCTTAATTTAAATTACAATTTTCAAAATGTTATTATACACCATTAACAGAGCTATAGAGCTATTCGCTAACTCCTCAAGTTTTCTAATTACGACGACGGGTTCAAGAATAATTTCGATCTATTTCATCAATCACGCAATGCATCTTGTTATTAGTGTCGTAATCCATTGCGTCCAGTGAAGAAGGAGATGGCGAAACACTAATCCGGCAGCCAGGCCTAAACCAATGGCACGCCATACATCCACAGGCCTGCCCCCGAAACAACTGAGTACGTCACCACTATCAGGATGAAATTTCCACGACGTAAATTCATTATGAAAGCCTTAGAGGACAGTTTAAATCCAGAAGGTCCTGAGCGATAAGGGGCCAGTCTAAAATCATTTGGATCCATCTAGGGATGTCGTTTCCTATTTAGTTATGGAACTGGGGTTCACCACGCCTCCACCCTCTCCGAACTTCGAGAAAAAAGTGGGCCAAAGTAAAGATAGAGTACTTTTTGGACAGATTAAGGACAGATTAAGTCTCTTTCTGCTCAGCCCTGCAACGTATGTGGCAAAACTACACCGCTGGCTCCGCCCATCACAAGCCCGGATGCGCCACCACCGCACTCCATTCCCCCATCGTGAGCCTGGATACACCCTAGCCACACTCCATTCCCACATCGCAAGTCCGGATGCGCCACCACCGCACTCCATTCCCCCATCGTGAGCCTGGATACGCCTCCGCCACACTCCATTCCCCCATCGCAAGTCCGGATGCGCCACCACCGCACTCCATTCCCCCATCGTGAGCCTGGATGCGCCTTCGCCACACTCCATTCTCCCATCGCAAGTCCGGATGCGCCACCACCGCACTCCATTCTCCCATCGTGAGTCCGGATACGCCACCACCACACTCCATTCCCCCATCGTGAGTCCGGATACGCCACCACCACACTCCATTCCCCCATCGCAAGTCCGGATGCGCCACCACCGCACTCCATTCCCCCATCGTGAGTCCGGATACGCCACCACCACACTCCATTCCCCCATCGTGAGCCTGGATACGCCTCCGCCGCACTCCATTTCCCCATCGCAAGTCCGGGTACGTCACCACCGCACTCCATTCCCCCATCGCAAGTCCGGGTACGTCACCACCGCACTCCATTCCCCCATCGTGAGTCCGGACTCACTACCACCGCGCTTTGTTCCCCCATCTCCAAGCAGCAAAAATCGGTGAACTGAAGACAGCGTTCGCTGGTCTCCAAGCACTGAGGACCACAGCACTCATCCTTCGGTAGCATTGAGGAGCTCAGACACATGGTGATTCAATGTGAGTGTATTTTGTGTCGGCTCGGTATATCATTGTCTCACGCACTCGGCTTGGATTTAGATACAATGTCACAGTCTGCATTCACGTTGTCCACTCAACGCCGACCTGCATTGAAATACCCGGGGAGCATTTGTGGTGCGAAACTTTGCCTGTCCGGATGTAACCGAACTTCAAGAATTCTCGTAACCCGCCGTCGTTGACAGTTCTTGCATTACCGCTGCGTGAATTCGAGTGAACATTTTTCACGAAGCGCTACAGTGACTTCCTTACAAGATTAATTGAGCGCGATGGAGGATTTAAAATCTAGCGAGCACCAGAGCGCCTCCACTGGCCACTCAGCCGTTCCTGCTGCGCAAACCCTTTTCTGAATAGGAGTAAGGCCGAATCTAGAGAGAGAGAAAGAGAGAGGGAGAGAGAGAGAAAGAGAGAGAGAGAGAAAGCTGGATGAAATGCGATGGCATCAGCTCTCATAATACTGTTTCCGACTGTTGCTCACGTCAGAGACCGAGAGCGGTGTTTTGGTTTGAGGTGCCGCCCGCTCCGCGGAATACCCTCAGGCGCTTGAAGTGTTCGGGAATGGACAGTTTGGCAATTGCCCACGTCAGTTGCACTAGATCTGGGGAAATGGCCTACTCCCCAGGCTGCGTGCGGCCGGCGCGTTCGCCGCAGTGGAAGGTGATCGCTGTTCCGTATACGCGATGCCAGTGAAGGAATGCTGCTGCTGCTGCTGCTGCTGTTCAGACCATTACGGCGGTGCACGGACACCACTGCCGTCGTGCATGCCATCGTGCTGGCTGGACACACCGCACAGGGACGCACTGACGCACAATGCCGTTGACTGCCTGGTTGGCAGCACATCGCTCCGAACAAGCCCGGTCTGGCGAAGCGTGCGACGCGGCCCCTTCGCACCGTCGCACCGTCGCGCGTCGCACGTGCACCGTCCTTCGCAGGGATAATGGCCGAGGGGCGGCCGCAGCATGCGGCCCCCCGCGCGCGGGTCGATCGATGCCAGTGGAGGCCGGCTGGAAAAGCTGCACACAACGGCGGCTCTGTGACGGCTGGGAATGGATGGCCGACAGCGCCGCTGGCCGGTACGGATTTCGCCGCATCCCAGCCCGGCCTGTGTAACGGGCCACCGCGTGATGGACGGGGCCCGCGCGATTGCTGCGGAGCCGTTCAGCAGCCTGTTGAAGGATAACGAGGAGGCTGGTGATTCTGCGCGGCCCGGTAATGGCAGTGGGCTTAAGGTGCCATGGCGGGGGGTGTAGGGGGCTTTATCTCACGTGATTGTACGCGATGTGTGACGTCAAGCGATCTGAAGAACCATTAGACATAGACATCGGCGACGAAATAGAGCATGCTGACATGACGCGTGGAAACCCGGCCTGCAATGTCTTATAAGATCAAACGTCCAAGGACACGTGAAACCATGACAAAGTGCACGACATCTTGTTGGTCAAATTGCATTTGGAAGCATTAGAATAACGGCAAACATAGCTGACGGGCTATATGACATGCATTTTGTAGCCTGTATGGCATAGCTTAGGTATGATCTAAACCGGTGCCAACAATAAGTTAGAACAATGCGACGTGACACAACGAGCTGTTGTTGCAATTGAACAATGGCCATCAGTGCAGGCAAGGGGAGTACGTGCCGCGCCCCACCCATACCACACCGCCCACCTGTGGTCCCGGGGGTCCGAAAGGCTGGCTGGAGGTCGTACTCAGCGCTCCGGCCCGCAGGCCGTGCCCTCAAATGGGTTTTCAGTCCATTGATAGCCCCGAGTCTATGAGAGCCTTTATGTCGGGACCAAATATCAAATGCCCGTTTGGAAGGCTGAAAGGAGAAGGGCCAAAACGCCTGGCTGTATGTCAAATATCGTAAGACCCTGACTTCAAGTGACATTTTTAGGGCCTCTCGCACCAATTGGAACCCCAAGTACAGCGTACGCTTGTATTTCAGCCAGAGACCATCAATACCAAACAGTCGGCTCTGAGTCGATCTGAGCACTGGGCCTCAGTCGGTCTGGGCCTGGAAATGAGCCATTTCCCAAGCAGGAACAAGCATGCATTCACCTTGGTCGGTGCCCCTGAAACAATGAGCGGCCCCTGCGTTGCTCAGGCGCCCTAACTGCGTAACGGTGGTTCCGTGTCGGTAAGGGACCCCTTGTCGCCCAGGAAAACATTTGCTGAACAGGGACTCAGACAGCGCCGCGTCAGATGGCCTCTTGCGTGGGCGGGACTCTCTGACAACCAAAGGAGTTATGAGAACATCTGATGAGAGTTCATAGTCAGACAGTAAATGGATTAGGGGCGCCGATTTATATACTCTCGGAGGGGAGGGAAAGCTGAGACCTACCATTGCTAACTTCAGCTCCCCCCCCCCTCCCCAGTGTCACTTTGAGCCCTTCAATGTATATAAGCATAAAAGAATGCTGCCCCAAGGGATTGCGTAACAATTATCTTACGTCTATTGGTACATCAGGCACCTAGACGCACTATTACTAGTACCTTGCTCATTTTGCACCAAAAATAACCTGTAACTCTGTTACGCTTTTGTAATGCCAGCTCCTTCATATTGTGAGCCAGGCTGCAATTTTTTCTCACAAATTTTGCACACCATATCACTGAATTCGGATGAATAGCGGGTGGATAGAAATGCGGCAGCTTTTAAAAGCAGGTGGTTGCCCGAATAAAAGTCAACGCATCAGCAGAATCAAGTGTATTTTTCAGACAATCGTGATTATTGTAGTAGTGCACTGACTGTGAAATGCCAAAACATGATCAGCGACAGCGGAAGTCATCATTGATTCTACACCCGTCAAATCATGACCACAAAAGGGGCTCTGTTGGTCCCCTGGCGGTACAGGATTCGCAGCAGCTAGATCTGATCCAGGTAGCTATTTAGGTCAATTATCCGTTGTATTAAGTCCCATTTTGAAGTCGAAAAAAACGTTTTTAGCCTATTTACTTTGAGATCGGGGACGCATAATCAGTGGTCAAAACTCAGGAAGAAATCAGGTTTTGGGCAGTAAATTAGTTCAACCTTAAAGACTCAGCCCGTTCAACCGATTTTGAAAAATGACACCCCTGGGAAGGGCCTTCTATCAGCCAGTCACTCCAGTACCAAACGGTGGTCCTTACACCCGACATCAGCCAGGAACCATGGGCTGAGCTGGAGTCTCTGCCAATGATGGGGTCCCTTGCGGTGACAAAGGAACTTTTTGCGCCAATGCGTCCGTGCATCGAGCTGAAGCTAACTGCCCGGGTGGAAGGGTCTCCCACGTCAGGGAGGGGACCAATGTACGATGTATTCCTCTCAGTGTCCCCGGATCAACCAGGGGTCGCCACGTATCGCCAAAATGGTGACCGGTGTCCGGTAAGCAGCCCGCTCTGGGGCGAAATGACTTTTTGGTCCCTGACCGGAAAAGATGGTGTGCACCCAAGTGCTTTACCCATGGGGCATTTGCCCAAAAGGTAAAGGATCTCGTAAGTGTTCAATGGAGTGGATCGAAATGAGGTCAAAAATAAAAAAGTCAACCCATGTTTGTCCGTGGCTGCCCATCCCTTTGCCAAATCGACTAGTGGACAAATTTACGTGAAAAGCTGGAAGCCTGCGCACTCGCGATCTTAGGAGCAAGAACACTAATGACCGGACTGCAGTTTTCAGAGACCCGAAAATAGATATTCTACCTTTACTCTTTCAGTTCTTTATCAGATTCCAGCCACAGTTTCGCTGTGCTATAAATGCTAATTCATTCCTATTATCAATCTAAGGATTGTGCAGGTAAAATTTACAGCCAGAAGGCCTTCTAAATGTACAGAGGAGTGTTTTAAAACGTTCATATGTACTTATATTGGATGTGTTGTGATTTCCGTCTGCACGTTGTTCGCTGCATAGAGTAAGCAACACGGCCGGTGCTGCGCGGCCTGTGGAAACTGCAACGCCGAGAATTGGGTTTTGTTTTTGAGACTCACAACTTTTGAGACATATGTAACATAAACAGCATAAACATGCATGTAGCCTGAAATGTTGTTACATGATTTGTCTCACTAATCGGTTCCGACCGAAGGCTGAATATCCCCAGACAAACATGCGTTGCCCATTTAGATACAAATGTTTGATCCCACCGATCTACAATCTACGTTTATGCAACCTTCAATATTTCTGCAAAACTAATAAAAAGCTATTGCAAAGCTTCTGAGTTCTTTCAGGTTAGGAAGAGACCACTCAACCAATTTAAAATGAAAAACGCCTGCTGTTTATTCCCTCCAGTCATTAAACGCCTGCTTCCTTTCATTTATTCACTTCAGATCACAGCTATCACCACATCTTCCGGTAGCTTCTGGCCACTGTTCCGGTTGTAAGCATGAAAATAAAACGAAGAAAAAGCTCAAATCTAGTGTCAATATCCGGCGAAGATACCTATCTTAGAGGGGGGGGGGGGGGGGGGGCACCATTCAATCCATCGGGGGCCCTGTATCACCCTTTAAATCTTCCCTTACCAAGGCTCTGGCGCGCTTCTAGTAATGATTCAAATCAAACGATGTCACGCACTGCAGACGCTTTTACGAGCCCATAGTCGGGCTGTAAGGTAGTAGTGTCCTATTGCTTGCAGCGCTCAGTCAAACAGCCAAGTTGCATGTGGTCTCTTTAAGGATGAATGGGCTGAAGTGAGCATATGATGGAGCGGGTAATCCATCAACCATCTCACTCCATTATTCACGGTGTCTCAATTCGTCACAACGCGGGGTTCATTCAGTGCCACCAGTGGGCGGGGGCGGGGGGGGGGGAGGGGTGGGGGGTGTCGAATGGGCTACTGGACATTTGCTAGGAACGCAAGGTTTTGCTGTTAACCTGAGAGCACAGCTAATATCGTAAGAATAGTCGCCTGTTGAAATGCATAGACCACAAGCCTACATTTTTTTCTGACGACGCTGATAATTCAGCCTGAAGCAGATATCCCTCAGCAACGTATCCTAAGGGAAAGGAAGTGCTTTCCAGCCTAGCTGACCCTTTCTCAGCGCTTTCTTATCGCGCTCGGCTGGCTCGTTCATCACAGCCATCACTCGGAGGACCTGGCTCGTCTAGGAATGCTATTCTGCCATAGTTCATTTCATGAGAACCAGCCGGCGCGTTAGCTTGGTCCGGAACGTGCTGTCCGGGCGACGACAGCTCCCGTCCAGACAGCCGCGGTTTACACAGCGGCGACCCAGACAGTTTCAATTTATACAGGTCCCCTCCACACAGTCGCGGTTTGCACAGCGGCGACCCAGACAGCTGTGGTCCAAACAGTTGCAGACGAGACAGCTGCCGACCAGACAGCTCCAGTCCCAACGGACGCGGCCGGACAGCTCCCGTGCAGGCAGCTGCGGTTCACACAGCGGCGATCCAGATAGCTGTGGCTCACACAGCTACGGGCAAGACCTCTGCGGTTCACGCAGCTGCCGACCAGACAGCTGCGGTCCATCCCGAACGGATCCCGTTCGGGGATTGAACAGACCGAACGGATCCCGTTCGGGGATCGAACGGACCGAACGGTTCCGACCGAACGGATCAGCGCCCGCCTCGCACTCCGACGACGCCACCGCTGCGGGGTGAGAGGAAGACGGCGGAGGAGACCTGGAAGACGCAGCGGGCTTGACGGCCGTCTGTGCTCCGAATGATGGTGACCCCATTGCCTTTATTGTCACGGATCGAGAATGGGCCAATTGAGACCAAGCCGTGGCTACAATGGCAACGACCTGACCAACCGTGACACGCCTGACCATGGCGCAAATGTGACTATTGCTTGTGGCAATTACCTTAAGATTAGTGACCTCAGCGTGAGGTAGAAGTAATGACCTCACGTTAGTGTCGGTAGTCTGGTCCTCACATTGCTGATAATGACATGATTGGCTGTGATATGACTATTCATCCCGCCATGTGATGTGACGAAATATGACGTGAATGCTACATAATCTGACCTAAGCATGGAGACTGACTAGCATGACTTAACTCGATCGGCCGTGATGTAACAGCGGTATGGTGTGTCCGACTGTGGTCTAACTGACCATGCCATGACCTGACCTGACCTGACCTGACCAACTTGACCAGACCTGAAATGACCCGGCCTGAGCCGCCCAACTTGACCTGACCTGACACGAACCCGACCTAACTTAATCCGACCTGACCTGACGTGACCCGGCCTGACCTAACCTGCAACATGACGGACTTCAGCTTGACTAACGACGTGATGGCGTGGGCGCCCCCCGAGGGCGTCCGATATTTATCGGGCCATCAGCCGCTGACTGCTGATTTCCGGCTCCGGCCAACTCTGACGATTGATTAAATATCGTCGCGGCGCCCGAGGACATCCAGGCCGCTCTGGCTGGCCGCGTCCTGCTCGTGATGAGCCGACTTTGGCCCCCAAGTTCAAGGGGAGCACAACTTGGCGCGCCATTGCGTTGATTGCGACCGAGGCGTTGACACAGGGCGCACCCCCAAAGCAGGGGTCGTCGGGGCTGAATTTGCTCCTGCGACAAGCCTGCCGGGGCTCTCAAGGGTCGCGCATTGTTCTGTTCCTCGAAGGGAGTGTGGTATCTTGTCGGGCCGTTCTGGGGACGTTTACGGCTTCTCGTGTTTTTTAGGGCTGCTTCGTTAAGCTTGATCCTGAGACTCCTCTGATAAATTCGCGCAGTTTTGCAGCATTGGTTATTGCCCATGCAGGTGTTATATGGAAAGCAGCGTCTGTAAATATTTTCCTTCTTGCTTTGTTTCTGAAATGCCGCATTTTTGACCTGTGGCAGAGCCGTGGGGAACAGCGTGTTGCGCCGAAAAACTAAGCCTGCATTATCCATCAATCAGTCCACTCTGAAGTGCTGCACGTGTTTGACACAGGCAGACACATTTCGCACCAGCAGTGAGCAATGTGCTTGTCTTCCAGAACTGTCATTTATCTTCCGTTCCCGGGCCAGCGAGACGAAGATTTCTATCGATGCCGGAGGTTGTTTGGCGGGGGAGTGTTTCTGAGCGGCATACGTTCGAGTTCCGGCAGCAGGATATCACTACGGTCGATAGTACGGCCCTGGACAAAACCCAGGCGGCGGGCCACACACGCAGGCGAGACGGGCGCCGGCCAGTGGAACTGTGCTGAATTCCTGCATGGAACCAGCGTCGGGCGTGGTTAAGGTGCTTTCGTCGCCTGCAGATAACACGCCATAGTTACTCGTGCCGGACGGGCTAGGCAGTTGCTCGGAAGTTTTCCTGGAATCGGCTGAGAGCCATTAATTGCAAGCCTTTATTGCATCTGAGTTATCAGTAAGCTCACATAGAGCATGCGTAAAAGCTTCCTTGCCAAGAGCGTCCCAGCAGCAATTTGCTTTCTGCTAAGAGAGGGAGGGCACAGTACCAAGTAATCAATAATTTGCCTTCTGCTAGGGGAGGGAGGGCACAGGGCCAAGTAAAAAGAGTACCAATGAACCTCACTTAATATACATTCGAGGAGGGACCCAGTCCCCACTGCTGACTTGTGCACCCTCAATGCTCCTTTGACCCCCCCCCCCCCCCCCCCCCCACCACCACCACCACCAGCCAATGAACATGGGCAAAAAAGAGTATTGAACCAAGGAAATGCAGAAATTTTCTTCAAATCCCGGCACACTTAGGTACCTGAAAACATCACTATCAGTTCCATTTTCCAGTCCCTGTATTCATATGTGCAGGTTGACCCATTAAAGTTCATTAGCACCGGAGTTCAATGGCTTTAAGATAATAATGTTTAATGCAAGGTACTCGATGCCGCTTTCTGCTTGACTCTCGCCCGTGTCCTTTTTAGAGATAACAGGAGCCTTATGAGCCCCCTCGTCTGACAAAGGCATGAAAACGGCCAGGACAAGTGCGCTGTGGTCATAAAAGCAAGCGCTGCCAGCTCTTCCACTTCTTGTCACACCAGGACCACCGCAGCATTAAGCAAAGCAGGCAATTCAAATACGGGGCCGGCGGTTCAAAGTCGGGTGTTCTATGAACCTCATGACCGCATTGGCACTCTCGTCACCAGCCCAGCCGCACAGGCTCCGTCTGTCAACCTCATGACTGCACTGGCACTCGCGTCACCAACCCAGCCACACAGGCTCCGTCTGTCGGCCACCACTCGGGAAGCGGCACAATCCACGCATCCGACGCGCAGCGTGCGTCGCAGAAACAATCGAGGGCGCACGTCCGTGCTTGTGTGCGCACTTAGGTAAATCTGCCGTTTCGCCGAACGCATTTGCAAACCTAATCTTCGCCCGGGGAATGGGTCGACGTCCCGGGCAGCGGCCGGCACTCCGTCCCGGCGGGGGAAGATCCCGCGGCGCCGATCCCGGGCAGCGGGCGGCGCTCCGTCCCGGCGGAGGAAGATCACGTGGCGCCGATCCCGGGCAGCGGCCGGCGCTCCGTCCCGGCGGAGGAAGATCCCGCGGCGCCGATCCCGGGCAGCGGCCGGCGCTCCGTCCCGGCGGAGGAAGATCACGTGGCGCCGATGCCGCGGAGCACCTGAATCTGCGTCGCCAGGGAATATTGCTCACGGACCACAAATTATCTCTTTTCTATCGCTCTTCCACTTCGCTCCAACCTCGTAGTGAAGGCAGCGATTGCAGCAGCACTAGCCTCTTTGAACGCCGGTCAGGTTTGTGTTGCCTCCGGCAGCACCGCCGGCAGTGGCACCGTTATGCACGGCGAGTCGCTGGTCGTCAGTTGTCGGAGCGCTGCGGCGCTCCGTGGCGAGACGCCTCGGCCGCCGTTGCCGTCTCGCGCAGGCCCGGTCAGCACTGTGATGGATCAGCCCCAGTGTTTGAAACTTCAGTGTTTCTTGGTGTTTTTAGCCCCAAGACATTTTGTTTTCCACAAATATACACTGGCAAGAATGTAAAAAAATTGCTCTCTGTGAGCGATGTCAGATGGAGGCAAGCTGTTCCTGCAACTTTGACAGCATCGTACGCCACACTCATGACTGAACGAGGGATGCTGCTTGTGGGTTGCAGCCAAATCTCTCTACCATATCACACATAATCTTTCCTTGCAATGCATTCAGTGCCCAGGTCTGTTGCTACTCACCAGCACACGTTTAACTCACCTACCGTCCAACGACATCAACGTGCCCACACACCACCAATATTTGTTACAAAATCAACATGGTCCTAAAAAGCAGTATCAAAACCTATTGGTACTGACATCTTTACAATATAATTATCAATATCAACAACTTTCTATCAGCTCCATAGCTTAAAAATACAGTAGGTGCATGGATAGACTTAGGAAGGAAGTACTTATTTGGGTAGCTAGAAAGTTTAAGAATTGCAAGCAGTCAATTTCTAATGCCCCTCATCCCCTCAGATCAGCCCCTCCCCCCCCCCCCCCCCCCTCCCACAACGAGCGGCCGGCGCAGGCAGCGCACGTCCGTTCTCGGCTGAGAATGATCGCACGTGTGGACTGCTGTGGGCACGTGAATGTTAAAGGGGCAAGAAGAGATCTCCACTTACTTATTTTGGTTTTGTGTTGATTTTTATCGCACCTCACTATTGCTGTGAGCATAGCACTTTTAGTAATGTGACAAAGACGTTGCATCCTATTGCGTGAGTATCGTTATTCAAAATAACGAGCGGCAGGATTTTGTAATTTGATCACGCTTCTAATCTGGTGATGATTGTAGTTCTCGATACCACGGACTCCCTGGTACAGAAACAATCGCAAAGACCACGCATTGCTGAGTCAGCATGGCATCTAGCAGACAACTGGTATTTGACAGTTCAGCTCATTTAGTTGTGTTTTGCGAACACTCCCATGCCAGAGGCTGCATCGCAATGCATTATGGATTTATACGGACCCTTTGTATTTTGGCCATGCAGGGAGGCCTGAGGATGAGACGTATTGCCAGAGGCTGAGAATTGTCAGCCACGGTCCCACGCATCTAACAGGTCCGGATAGCGCTTCCGCTTAGCAACAGGCGCCTAACAACCGCTTAGCAACAGGCCCCTAACAGCATGGCACCTAACTACGACTCGGCATAATTTTCATTAATGTTGTCGGGATTGGCAGTTTCAGATGAAACGCTTTCTCTTGTTGCGTTAACTGTAAATGGGCGTTTAAGAGAGCGCCCACTGCTGAAATTAGTTCCGTCGTCTCTTATTTTGCGCACACCATGTCTTCAAAAATGCCCAAACCTGATAATGATCCCGAGTGATGAGAAACGGCGAGGGCTTTTTCTCTGCATAATCTCTGCAGCGGTCCTGTAACGCTGCTGCTATAAAGATGTTTGAAGCACATTCCCCCGGGCTCGGAATGTTTGTGTGCCCCTCCCCACTTTTTAAACCTCCTTTTACCCCTCACTCAAAGCGGAGGGCACGTTTCGTAGAGCGTGGAATGGTGCACAGTGCAGGGACATCACTCTGCCATGCACGTAATTATTTGGTCATCCAGACAACCTGTCTGGCCTTCACTTTCGCAACCATCCAGTTTGTAGCCATTTGCACAAACATTGTTCCCTGTTCTATATCATCGCACCAGCCTCCGCCAGTGTTCATTTCTTCCCTTTTACACCTGCGCGCTTTGCTGAGATGCACACGATTGTTGGCAAGGCATGGCTGCAGGCGGCGTGTCCTGATTCGGAGTCCGAATAACCCCAACTTCCCTATAACGCCCCCAGAAAGCGGACCATGACGATCGAGATCCGAACCCGGGCCCAGCCCATGACCTCTCCCGCTGTGTCCCCAGACACCTGCGCGTCGACCGGCTGACCATGAAGGACAGCTCTGACGACTCGACCGGCATGACGACCGAGGACCTGGGAGTCTGGGGCGTCACCGAGCCAGCGGTGGCGCCCGAGCCGGTACCACTCACATTCATCCTCTACCTGCTGGCCGGCCTGCTGCTCTCCGTGCTGATCGTGCTCACCAATCTGCTGGTCGTGTCCTCCGTCGTCAAGTTCTACCGTGTGCAGACGGCCAGCAACTGCTTCCTGCTGACGCTGAGCGCGGCCGACGGCCTCATCGGCGTGGTGCTGCCGGTGACGTTGCTGCTCGAGCTGTCGGGCGGCTCGGCGGCCGGCGCCACGCGGCTCCGCCTGCTGCCCTACTGCCTGCTGGTGGCGTTCAGCGCCGTCTCCGTGCTCACCACGGTCGCCATCGCCGTCGACCGCTGCACGTCGCTGGCACAGCCGCTGCGCTACAACAACCTGGTGACCCGCCGGTGCGTGTCTCGCTTCGCCGCCTTCTCCTGGGCGTACGGCCTGCTGGCGGGTCTGGCGCTGCTGGGCTTGCACCCGTGGGCGGACGCCGGGGGCGGTTCACACGCGCCGGTCGACCTGCTCGACCGCACCGCTGCCAGCGTCATCACCGGCGTGCTCTTCCTGCCGGCCGCCGGCGTCTTCGTCTCCTGCTACCTGTACGTCTACTGCGTGGCGCGCACGCACGCCAAGGCCATCCAGACGGTGGAGGTCTCGCTGGGCCGCGGCGGCGGCGGTGGTAGCCCGGCGCGCTGCGGCCAGACCGCTGCTGCTCACAGTCGGCGTGTTTCTACTCTGCTGGAGCCCGCTCTGTCTTTGTGTGGTGGCGCAGAGCGACTGGTTCTACGGCAGCGCCACCGCCCGCGGCTGGCTAGCGCTGCTGGCGCTCAGCTCGGCCGCCATCAACCCCTTCATCTACAGCTTCCACAGCGCCGAGCCTGCGCTTACTGCTGCCACCGGCTGCTGGAGAGCGTGCTCGGTCGCTGCGGTCTCGTCTGGTGGGGCTCGGTTCGGTCCGGCTCGCCGCCTTCAGGTACGTACCGAGGCGCGGCGTGCTCGGTCGCTGCGGTCTCGTCTGGTGGGGCTCGGTTCGATCCGGCTCGGCCGCCTTCAGGTACGTACCGAGGCGCGGTCACGCAGCCACCCCTTCGCTGAACGGGCGATGCTAAACGCTGGTACCTGGAGCTACAGCAGGCTGAAAACGTGCAGTTCGCCGGAAAGAGGTAACTGCAGAAACGGGGTTCTGACCTCTTGACCTTCCGCGCGCGGCTAGACCCCGGCCGATCTTTGCAGGGGGATCAATAGGAGGGCTGGATGTAGATGGGCGCGTGCTGGTGTAAGCTGCTTTGTGTGCTATAGTGCGTATCATGCCATGCCGCTCAACAGAGAAATCGATTTGCTCTGAGATGTTATTCCGAGCAAATGGCGTTTCATTATTTCGGAAATGCTGCCGTTGTAAATGGATGTCAAGAAAATAGAATTAAGACCAGAATTAATCGTATCAAGCGGCTTAGTGAAAATGCATTCCAACAACGGCCGTTGATCCGTGTTCTGTAAAGAACCTAATCAGTAAATGTCCTCAGGAGAGCAGGAGCCGTTTATAATCAGCAACGGGCTATTACTACGGGCTGGCGTGCTCTGAGATGCTGATCCTTCCCAAACCGCTCCTCCGGAACAGTGTCCCCATTTGACATACTTACGTCCCAAACATCGCTAATTTCTTCCCGCAATGGCTAATGGCCTAGCTTAACGCGTATTTCGACAGCAAAACGAGTTTTTATGCAGAGCGGATGCTTCTGAAAGCAGAACTAACAACATCGCTGAGACGGCATCTCCATTCGATTCACATGGCAAACGTAACTTTCCTTGCAAAAACTGAAGAACACGGATAGAAACTGGTCCTTATCTTGAGCACAGCAACACGACACAAGAATAACACCATTTGCAAAAGTGTGGATTGATGTGGGCTGCTAGTCACGCGTAATCAAGCAAAAGCAGTGGATCTGCTGGTTTGGGAGTGTTTTTAGAAATTGATGTCAGGTCTCGGCAAAAACAGAGAATGCAAGCCGAAGGTGTACTGCATACGTGGCGTAGATGCATGTACCATTTGCATCACCATTGGCCAATTCACCACTGTCCGATGTATGGCGACGCCAGCAGCCGCCAAGATAATGCTCAGTATGACCGTTACGAGAGCGATCTTGAATATCACGTGCTGGTGCGTAACACGACAACGTTTGGGACATAGACACTGCATACTCTTATAGCTCAATTCGTTGCGATCAGTATTCGCTGACAAGTTCGCCTCTTTATATATATATATATATATATATATATATATATATATATATATATATATATATATGCATATTAACCCTGCCGATCCCAAGCACTCCTCAGCAGGTTCGCTCGAGTTCCTTTCATGATTACCGTGGATGTGTGGATATGTGGAGAAACCTTCGTGCTGTATATTGCAGACACAAGATACGCGCCTTACCCGGGAAGAAATTGCATCAACTCATCAGCACATTAACCGGAACTTTATTATCTGTAGTTTGTGGATGGTCCATCTGGGATCCTGGGCCTTGCACAAGAACAACCGTTTGTTCAGAGGTCGGGCGCGCGTAACCGGATGACAGAAATCCGTGGCGTTTATGGTATAGGGCAGTACAAACCAGTGAAGTAAGGTTTCGGGGAATGGTTAGGCAGCTGGACGGCGTTTGTGGTTTGACTATTCTGGACTACACCGTTCCGAATGGTTTGGTAAATAACCGTCGATGCCGCACTCGCCCGCTCCCAACTTTGACGGAAACCTCCCAGCCACGTCTTACATAAGACTAAGGTCCACATCGGCGTGCCGCACGTCGGACCGCTGTACAACCTTAAGTTCTAAACCAGTACCTCCTCAAGTTCCCGGAGTTTCGCAATCAACACCATTACAAACCATGTCACAACGCGTCTTTGAACCGAGGCCGTCTCCTGCTCAAAGTCGGCTGTTTCCTCCGAGCCGTTCGGTGCGCCCCGGCCGCCCGCCGGGCGCGTGGGTCCGGTCCGCGCCTCGCGCGTCGCGCGGCCCGGCCGGGCTGGTAACGCTCCGCTCTGTCCTGCCGCAGCACGGCATCGAACATACGGCTCTGCACCATGACCACCAACCACACGTGCATCATCCGCGAGGTGTGCGTCACGTCGGCTGCCTGCGACGCCGTCAGCATGTACCAAGAGACAGTGGTGAGCACGCAGTTCGGCACCGACAATCCCGTCACGCCCGTCTAGAGCCGCAGCTGCCGCCCGCGCTGCCGGCAACCGGCCGTCGGCAGCTCGGCAGCAGCAGCGTCACGTCCGTCCGGAGCGGCACTCGCCGCCGTCGGCCGGCCGGCCGGCAGGTCCGCGGCAGACGAGGGGGTCCCAGCAGCAGCGCTGCGCCCCTGTCCGGGCCCGGGCGGCCAGCGGCCGAGCTGCGCGGCGCGCCTCTCCAGCTGTGACCGGCACACCGTGTCGTCAGCCAGCCAGCCGTCAGCCAGGTCAGCCAACCAGGTCAGGCAGCCAGCCGTCAGCCAGCCACTGTGGGCGGGCGGACGCCGCCACTGTGGCCGTTGCCGCGCTGCAGTCGGCTCGGCGACCGTGCTGAACCGAGTGTCTCACAGGTATAGAGTGGCCTCCCCCTCGGTCCTGCTGAATTGACACGGCCGGACACTCTGCTCCCGTCACGCCCTTGTCGGGACTCGACCGCGAGACTCAGTCGGACGCCCGGGAGTCGCTGGCGCGACATCCTCACCAAAAGTCACTGGTGACGTCGCAGGCACCCAAGAGGGGAGGAGAGCGGCGGCCAGGTGTCAAATCATCGAAAGCGTCGAGCTTTTCTCCCTCTAGACTTGTGCTTGGGTAGGTGACGCAATATGGCGGACTTTACTAAAAAAAATGGGATTGTGTGTCAGTCGTTAACCAAGGTTTTCAATGAAAACGGGAGCTGACCGCTCACCCAGCCATTCTTACCCGCCGGCGCTCCCTGTGTGTGCTCCATTCAACTCCGTCCGACTATCCTGGTGGCCGTAAGTCGACAGTAAGGACTCTCTTGCGCCGGTAAGTCCTGCCGCTCCCGCGCTTGACAAAGTCAAGCCTCGACCATTCTCGCAGACATCGATCCCGCGTCCCCCAACAGCCCACGTTCGCGGCGGCCGAGCCGGCGCTCCAGAGCGTCTCTGAGCCTCTCTGACGAGGCCTCTCCGCGGCTCGTCACCCGCCGGGTGACCTTTTTTCCCCGGCTTTGAGCGGTTGATGCCCGGACAGGACGCGCATTGTCCTGTAAGTGTCAGCTGGCGACGGTAAAGGCGGGCCTCTTTCGGGATGGGACCTCCGGGCGAGGCCTCAGGCCGAGTTTGTCGGGCCTCGTCCGCGGCGTGCCTCCGGGCGAAGCCTCAGGCCGAGTTTGGCGGGCCCTATCCGCGACGTGCATCCGAGCGAGGTCTTCCAGGCAATCTCGGGACCGCGAGCCGGCGACTCGAGTCTAGAGTCGCGCTGTGGTTGTCGCGTTCGTAAGACGCCAACGCTGCAGCGGCGCGTCGTCCAGGGCAATTAGCAGTTCATGTCAAACGGACGTCGGTCCGAGCAGGCAGACGGATTTGGTGCTGGCTGAAAATAGACTTAAGAGAACAGGGTGACTGAGCTGAAGCTGCTAATAAATAATTAATGCGGGTGGTAAAACGTAAAAATACAGATGGTCGGCACATTGAACGGCTGCTATTCCATCTCACAAGAGGCGGGTGTGTGAAAAGCGGGTGCGTACCACCACATCTGCGGTATATTTGCTGGAATTTCAAGGGTGAAGGCTTTTCTTACGCCAGCGATGTAGCTTATTTACCTGGTAGCTGTTGTTTTCTCGATGCCATTATCGTCTGCAAGTGTTTACTGCCTGATCGTACCTAGCCAGTTTCATCTTCTTTTACGTGTTTATTGCGTGGTTCCTCCCATGGTGTGTAAGTGCATGACTGCAGAGTTTTATTCTTATCCTCAAAGGGTTGTGTCTTAGACAGGGTCTTTCGCTGGCCAATTTCGGAAGCTTTAAAGCTATTGTGTTCTGTCATTGTCGGCGAGCGTTTTATGAGTCGCCAAAATGTTTCAAGATCTTTCATGAAAGAAGTGTTCATTAGCAGGGTGCTCTGGTAGGGTGCTAGTGCTATGGTTGACAGCCAGTCGGATCGCTTGCCTGATACCAAACGTTCATCGCGTATCAGGCTGTTCGCTTCTTTACTCAAGTGTGAAACGTGCATATGCGTAGCTATTGCATGAACACCCAGATCTGTATTATCTTCTGAAATGTATGTCGTCATTTACGATATCCTCTCCTGTGGTCGTATCCTCCGTGGTCGATCCCAGTTGTGATACAGACATGCTGCGAAGCTTGCTGCTGTTGTTTTGACGTATCCTCAAAGAGGATGAATGCTGGACAGTGAGTCACACGGTTTCATACAGTTGATCTCAAACAGGGCTGATCAGGTTGGTAAGGTGTAACTCACCACTTTTGTCGCGAAAGTCAATGTGAAAATGTCGGTTTAGGTGTTGTGAAATAAAATTTCTGCTGAGCGTCGTGTTTTGACATCGCAAGGCTACGACTCTGCGGAGCCCACGGCACGGATGGCGAGACCACTGGGCCGTGTGATCGGGAGAGCCGGGTTCGAATCCCGCCGTCTTCGTTTTCGGGGGCCCCGTTGTAGCGACCGGACTGGGTCATTCCTACGATAGCAGGTGTGCATCAAGGATTGTCGCAAAGAGGCCCATTAAAAAGGGAGCCGTGGGTTTTGGGGGTGTCATGCAAATTTTACGTTTGATTTCGTGGACCGGGTAAGAGCCGGGCTTAATCGCGTGGCGTATTTTTTGGCGTACAAACAGCAAAATTTAACCGAAAAAGACAATGTTTACAACTAGTTTTTTTTTGTTGAAAGGTCAAAATGCTTTTCTGGTCTTTGTTATGTGGCGGCGGAGATAATTTCGCTTTTAAAAAGGAACGATGCGCTGACAATTTGTAATTTAGCGCAACTTTTTCAAAGTTTGGCTTGACACTCCACTTTCGCTGAGCGAGTGATAACAAATGCAAGCGGAAACTAAATCCAACTATCCAGAGATTCGGCGTGGTCATGGCATCATCGCTGCAGAAAGCGCGAGCTTGGCACCGTTTTGACGATCTGGTCACCGTCACTACCGATGTGATATCTCTTGATCGTTAAGAATAAGCTGTAATAGAAACGTCTCAGTACAACACACTAGGTATGATCTCATTTCTGAGTTTAAAGGTGTGCTTTCAGCACGAGATATTTGCCCCAATAGTCAATCATTACGCTTTCGTTCACGGACCGGACGTCCAGCAAATATTTTAATGTACTGCCCCCGCTTTGAAATCCAGTCTGCCCGCCATCCACCCTTTTTTACAAAATATACAATGCCATCCGATCCGATCCAGGAAAAAACCAGAACATGTTCATAATAATCGAAATCCAGATGAGGGGATACCGGCCCTTCAGCCACAGTAGCCACACCTCGTCATCTGAGGCTCTGCTTCGGGATTCGACTTTCGGGGACCTTTTCAGGCTTAGGATTCCATTTTGATGTCTCGAAAGCACGTTTTTGTGTTTCGGAAGTCCTACGGGTGTTGTAAACTGTCAAGAAGTACTGGAACCTTTTGTCCCAAAAAAGACACCACCACCTCCAAATTAGCCCGAAAGCTCCCTCTTTGGGCTGGTCCATTTCTTGATGTTTCTTGATGCTTAGTCCCATGAGGTTTCATCTGTCGCCGGCGGGGACTTTGATAAGAGTAGTGGTACGTCTGAACACGATAAAGGGCCTGCGGTTTACAGCCACTGAGTCCAATTAAAGCTGCAATTTTGATGCCGCTAGCAACGATGCAATAATGTGGCGTCATATTGCACCTTTGGGAGCAGCAATTATTCGGCAAGCGAGGCTTGTAGACGTTAAGGCTCCCAGCTATTTGCCGTAATATCTACTCTGCTACCTCAAATACACAGCCTCCAGCCCGGAGAATCCCTCCGCCTCCATTTGAGGGTTTAGCAGTTTCATTTCTCTTCAGCACCTGCCTCTTGAGCTCAAAGTTTCAGAGGTGCCTCTTCACCCGGCTTTGGGCCGTCCCTCCGCCCAGGCTCGAGGCTCTCCTCCGCACGGGAGCAGCGGCCACTCCATACAAACATACCCGGGTATGCTGCCAGTGTTCACACATGCTATCAGTTTACCCATCCGTGACCGTTTACCCATCCTTTGATATCGGCCGCGCTTAAAGCAACATTTCAGCCTGATTGCTTTATCGTGTTTTTCGTTTGATAAAAACACTGCGATGTTGCACTTGACCTGAAAAAATATACACGAACTGGGTCTAAACAAAAGTCTTCATATGCTGCTTGTCAATACGTGTAGAGCATGTTTTCTCAACTTCAGTGTGAGTGCGTAAAACGTATATGGTGACAGTCTACGAGGACCCCTACACCCAACGCGTCAGCCCCCTAGTAGGTGTCCAAGAAATGGGCCAGGTGGGCCCAGCCAAATGCATTCCGCCTTTTGTGTCGCAGTGCTTAGACGCCAGTCCCATTACCGCAGTCTTGTCCTGGCTCCGGCTTGTGATCCACGTAGAAGCCTTTGTAGCGGTGTCATATCATGGCATGCTTACTTTGCCATTCTACTTAAGATGTTTTAAAAGTCAGCTGATGGCCCCTAAAACTAATGAGAGAGTGTCGTAACTCGCAAATAGCAGGCTTAAGATACACCTCAGCCCAGGGGGCTATAGCCGCCCCTATATGTGCAGTGGCGCTCGTCTCACTTGAATAGCCATCGATGCGTTAAAATATCCGCTTTCAACAATGTTTTACCCAGGCACGTCAGAGGTGTACAAGCTCAACACACCTTTTCAGCAAAGAGCGAAATCCAGAGACAAAAATACTCCGCGGCTCAGGCGACCTTAATCGCTCGCAGCGGTCTCGTGGTCATGCCGTGCGCAGTCCCTGGACTTTCTCCAACCGTCCCGCGGGCCTCCTTCGAAAATCGTCGTGCCCCTACCACCCCACCGCCCAAAGTAACTTCAATGACAATCATCAGCACATTGCCACGACCCACATCACTGTCTCTAAGTTCCCAGACAATTCGAGCCCCTGGATGTCTTAGAATCCGCAACTTTTTCGGCACATCATGGCCCCGTCAGAATCACGGTCCAGGGACTTCCAGCAGACGTCACAGGAAGCCTTCAGGTCTTCGAAACGTGTGACGAATCTATGGCA